ATGAACTTGTCACACAGGTCTTGGAAGCTAGCGACTGAGCCTTTCGCCAAATTCTTGAACCAATTGAACGTTGGTCCGGTCAGGCTTGTAGGAAAGCACTTGCACATCAAAGGATCATTCTCCGTGTTCAGAGCCATTTTCAATTGGATATGGTAAATGTGATCAATCGGATCGATCATTCCGTCAAACAGAACGAAAACTGACATGGAAAACTTCCTCAAATTTAGAGCGTTCAGGATCTCGTTAGTAAACGGTGAAGCAACCATTCGTGTTGACGAACGAAGGGCCTCATTCTCCCTTGGAAAGCTTAGGAGAATCCTTTGATCTGCAGATCTGCCATCCGAACCTCTGTAGTCATACGTAGCCATTGAAGGCCGGTAGGGCGGATCGAGTGACTTTTCCTCCGTGAACTCTCTCTACCACGGTGACGCAGCCTTATGGTGACCAAACTTTATGGCTTCCTCTTGCGAATGCCATAGCTCCCTCTTGCTTGATCCAATCACGATGCGTATCCAAATGAATAGATCCTTCCCAATCCTCCACGTGACGAGCATTTGGCAATAAATCGCCTGGCCTGATCTCTTCGCGGTGAAAATCCATGTGATCGCTCTCTTCCTGCTTGCCTTGGTGAGTAACATCAGGTTATAAGGCTCTATCTCCTACTGGAGTTGGTCGTCGAATCGCCGGAGCCTCCCTATGCTCCATTCCAGCTTGCAATTCTGCATTCTCTCTTCTTAGGGCTTCAATCATGCTTATCAACTCATCAAGCTTCGTCTGCTGGCCATTCTCCTGTGGATTAGAACTCTCGCCTCCTATCATCATTCCTGATTGGAGCAGAGTCATCAACCGTGAATTCCTGATCGGATCTGACCTTTGCTAATGCGAAAGCACTAGATCTGGCCTCAAACTAGCTGAATTCTGAACTCTTTCTACCGGATCTGATCTACAATCCGTTGATTCTATTCTTGCCGTGAACTCATCAGATCTAATCTTGGTAAACAGATCGAGATTTTCCAGATCTGATTCCAATCTCCAAAGATTAACTACAACCAACACTTTGCAAGACAGACTATGATCTCGCCGATTTGAATCCAACTTTCAGAGATCAAGCTTCTCCTTCGCGAATCAGTCTTGATCGAATCAATCTACTTAGAACGTGAATCAATCTTCATCGTTTCCCACAGACGGTGCCATTGAAGATGCAAGAAAGATACTCTCTATTTAGAGAGACTAATTCTACACTTCAAATATTTTTCAACCCCATTTCCCTCTATTTTCAGTCTATTTATAGAATATTACAGATCTTTTAGAAACTTCCTAACTAGCTCCATGCATTGGGTTGTTCTTCTGGGCTCCTCTTAGCTATGGGCTCAATTCCTTTTATCTGAAATCGAGCTTCTAATATGATTTCTCGGTCCTGGGCCTGACTAGTGAAGATTTGGTTTGGAGCGGTTATTCTTGCATAACCCGCTCTTAGCAATCTGGATCGTACCCGGCCCAGGTCATTTTTGGTATCCTCAGTTACGTAGGTTGCGGAAGCTGCTAGCTGATTTAATTGTGATTAACTCCTTTAATAACCTAAATGAGATTAATAAGTCAACTTGCCTAATTTTTGTGATTAATTAAATTACCTAAACAATATGATCAATTAAAAATCCACAATCACAAATATAAATACTAAAAAGTAAAACAAGTAGAGTTAGAGAGATTGCATTAGGATTTTTAGTAAGTAAACCCCAATTGGTATAATAGACCACTTGTTGTGAGAAAAATCTCGTGGATTATGCAGTCCAAAGTAAACCGATCCAATATGTTAAAAATAAAGTACACTGAACTTTAACTCAGGCTCGCATCCTATCATTCTACCAAACATCAATTGCTGATAATCTTCTGGCGTTGCGACATCTTGTCCAACAGTTCTTGACCTCATGCTTACTCTTGATCTCTCTAGAAGGATTGCTGGTAGATCAAACAATACTCCTCAAATACTTTGACCATTTCAAAGTGTGATCGCTTCACCTATTTTTTTCAAGATCTGAACTTTGATGTAGAAGAAATAAATATGCTCTTTTAGAATCTTTGAATCTTCAATTAAGCTCCAATTCCGATGAGATAGAGAACAACACTAATAAATCACTCATGAATATATGTGTGTGCTCTCAAAATTAAAATCAAAAAAATTATATTTGATTTTCTGAAAAATATCTCTCTAAATGCTTTCTCAAAATAATGATTTTATGTTCCTAAAGCCATACCTCAATAATGAATGAAAGAGGCATTATATAGAAGTTTGGAAGACCTAAGACTACTTGTAAAACAAGTGAAATTCGCGCATATGTTTTAGAAGGAAGTCTGGACCAAAAATGAATCAAAACGGATAAGGAAATTGAAGTTTCTAAACTGATCTGCAAGCCTTGAACCGGTTCAGGATTTGTTGAACCGGTTCAAGATGGCCAGAGAAATTTTGAATAATCCCTTTTGATTCTTGAACCGGTTCAGCTTTCTTTGAACTGGTTCAAGATGGCCAGTCTGGAATTGTTCATAAATTCTCAGATGTTGAACCTGTTCGCTAAATTCTTGAACCTGTTCCCTCAGATGTTGAACCTGTTCGCTAAATTGTTGAATTAGTTCAAGTTGGGCGGAATGTAATATGTCCCTTAAAAACTTCCTAAGTGTTCTCACACACTCACAAAACTTCCTAAAGCATTGTTCTCATTATCCCGAAGTGTATTAAATCATGAACACTTAAACTTCTTCAAACCCGCATTCGATCTTCAATCTTGAATTTTTGAACTGAAAAATTACAACTCGATCGGACTTGTTTTGACAACGAAATTAACCAATTAGAATATATATATTTTTACAATTCCCCCAAAATATATTTCTCACAAGTCCCATTGTACTGCATCTAATCGTTTGCATACATGATCTTATCATTTTCCATCAAAAATATAGAACTTCATAAGAGTAACACTTCCGCCCAAAGGCTTGATGATTGAATGTAGATGGCTGACTAAGAGAGATGAGGAATCCGGATTCCTTTTTGTAGAGTTTCATCCTATGTTATTATTGTTTCATGTCATTACATCGCTTATGAAATAATTTTACATAGCTTGTGCAACAATTTTACATTCGTTTATGCAATAACTATATTGCATCCCTTCTGCAATAACAACTTTATATATATATATATATAGCTGCCGTTCAGTGTTACATTTACTGCAGCACATTACATTGTAGTGTAAACACTACTCTGAATGCTGAGTGGTCTTCCCTTAGTTTTTTTTTTCCTATTTTTTTTTTTTTCTTTTTTTTCAACTCATCCTTTTCTCAACCCAGATCTCCTCTACAAGAGGGGATCTCGGCTGCCGTTCAGTGTTATATATGTTACACTACAATGTAATGTGCTGCAGTAAATGTAACACTGAACGGCAGCCGAGATCCCCTCTTGTAGAGGAGATCTGGGTTCAGAAAAGGATGAATTGAAAAAAAAAAAAAAAGGAAAAAAAAAAAAAAACTAAGGGAAGACCACTCAGCATTCAGAGTAGTGTCCAAAAACAAAGATAGTAATGTGTGATCATGAACTGTTTCCCTTATTTTATCAACTCCAGCCCCACGCTATCATCATTCCTCTACTTTTGGGAGCATGAAATCCTTTGTCATATTTTCCACTTTATTAGTTCAAATTAAAATTTTCTCTTATTAGTAAAGCAACCATAATGATTTACAGAAACCAAGAATCTCTAAAATTATTTGTAAACTGACCCCAAGATATTAAAATAAGTCAAGCCAGTTATTTTATTGATTAATATGATCATTTTAGTAACAAACAAAGTAATTTAGACCCCTCAAATACATTAGTAAATGAATAAAAATTCTACTTCATTTTAACAGCCCTTGATTTTTTTTAAGTGGCATTCTAAATAAGTTTTCAAATACACATAATTAGAAATAATCTTACTTGTAGTATCGTATCTTCATTAATCCGTGCAAGGGGCAGCCAGTGTTTGCCAAGAGGGGGTACATGCCCCTGGCCTAGCCACCCACTATAAAATATAATAATTTTTATTTTAATTTATATAGTTATAAGAAATTTTTTATATAATGCCCCCTAAAATTTTTAATTTCTAAAATTGTCTTCTAAATTTTTTTTTCCTTTTTCTTTTGCTCTTAATATTCCTTTGATTTCCTTTAAAAAAAAAAAATTTTAATTAAATTAAATTAAATTAAATTTTCCTTCATTACTCAAACTTTAATTTTTTTCCTTTCAAATTTCTCATTTTTCTTCCCTTTTTCTTTCTTCTTCTTATTATTTTTTTTGACCCCCTACTTCTTAACATTCTTCTATTTGCACTTAAGAATGATGTATATAGTATGTAATTTTTTTTTTTTTTTTTGTTCTTCTTATTTAAATTATTATTATTATAATTTTACACTACGCCCCCCCTAAGTTAAAATCCTAGATCTGCCGGTCCGTGCTACAAATTTAGCCGCTTACAAAACTCCCCGTACACTCCAATAAAACCCATACCAAAAATTTACCACTTTAATAGAGAATTTCACTGATTCATTAATAAAATAGGTAAAATTTCAAAATAAATGTTGTAAAGTGTGCAAAGCAAGATATTGCGAAAGAGCATGTACGAGACAGAATTTTGATTCGTATAAAAAGAAGAGAGAAAAAGAAGACAAGAAATACTATTCTTTTTTAGATAATTAGAACAATATATTTCTCTATATCAATAAATTTAAAGATGTAATATTTGAATTCTTTAAATGTTAAGTAGTTAAAAAAATAAATAAATAAATATGTAACATAAGGCGGGTCAATAAAAAAAAAAGTTTTAAAAGACATCCTGATTTCCTTTGTCAACCTCGTGGGAAGACAATCATGTCCATTTTGAGAGTGTGGATAAGGGGTTTATAACTTTATAACAACATTCTTTAAATTTGTTAATGGATGTTGGCATAATATCATTTAGACTAGATTATGGTAATTGTGCGTAATAATAAAGTACGATATTATAATAAAATTAATTTATACATTTATTATCTCGATGTCTTAGGTTCCATCTGATCTCCCCAAAAATGAAATGATCAACCCATGTCAAACTGTACATAGAATAAGCAGCCTTCTAGAAAATAAAAAGCTTAAAGCTTTCCTTCTATATTTTACTCCTAAAATCCATCTCTCTCTATATCCCACAATCAAAACATTCTTTTCTTCCAAACACACATCCAAACTCTTCCCATCCAAACCATTTTCAAAATTCTTACATCCTAATTTTTGTTGGTTTTTTTTTTTTTTTTTCTGTTGTTCTGATCCACCCTACAACTATTAGTCTTTGTTAAGCCTCTTAAATGGGTGCTTCAGCTTCTTCTATTGCATCAAAATTTGCATTCTTCCCACCAGATCCATCATATAATGTAGAGACAGATGAACTGAGCGGAAAACAGAGACTCACTGGCGTTCCCGAGAAAGATAAAGGCGAAGTGTTGATGCTGCGCACAAAGGGAGACAACTTCATCTTCACTGTCTACGTGAAGAACCCTTCTGCATCCTTCACAGTGCTCTACTCTCATGGAAATGCCACTGACTTAGGCCAGATGTTCATGTTCTTCACTCAGCTTAGTGATCAGCTTAATGTTAATGTCATGGGGTATGTTAAGTTTGGATCCTCTAGGTGTACTGCATCGGACGACTCATGACACGTGTGTGATCACACGCATGTGTGTGTTGTGAGTCGTCGGATACAGTATCCCAACACATAGTAATACGTGTGTGTGTGTGTGAGAGAGAGAGAGAGAGAGAGAAGTGTGAACATAAATGATAATACTTATGTGGATGGTAATTAATTTCCTTCTTTTTTTTGTTCTACTATATGTAGTCTGTACTCTGTCCTTTTGATAATTAGTAGCTGTTGTGTTTATCTATTCATTTATTGTGTATAGAAGCTCTAAAGTAGTTGAGATATCAATTAATTTGATCTTTTTTTCTTTTTTTTTATAGCTATGATTATTCTGGCTATGGAAGGTCCACTGGGGAGGTATGCTATTTATTCTATTCACATTTTCAACTAAATAACTTGTTTATTATTATATCAGGTTAACTCTCAGAAATAATTGGATAAAATATAAAAGGTCAAATTAAGGAGCTAGAGAGAACAAACTTTCACTTTCTATTCATTCAATTATGTTAATATAACTATGGTAAGGAACAATTTAGCAATTCAGTAGTACTAGCCAGTTTTGTTTTTGATTCATCCCAACTTTGGTCAACTTTTATTTATTTATTTATTTATTTATTTTTCCACTCTGTGTTTTGGATTTAATTGATTAAGAGGAAATTTGCTGATTTTGGCTAACACATCTTCGCCAATTAGCCAAGTGAGCAGGCCACATATGCTGACATAGAGGCAGCTTATACATGCCTTACAGAGACATATGGAGTTAAGCAAGAAGACATTATATTGTATGGGCAATCAGTTGGAAGTGGACCAACTCTAGACTTGGCTGTTCGATTGCCTCGATTGAGGGCTGTCATTCTTCAGAGTGCAATCCTATCTGGTCTTCGAGTCATGTACCGGATGAAGAGAACGCTTCGGTTTGACATATACAAGGTTTTTTAAGGTTAAATTGACATGTTGTTTCAATGTTCGAAAATCCTGTCATTAATTATGTTTTTCTTTTGCAGAACATTGAAAAAATTCCACTGCTCAGTAGCCCAGTTCTTGTAATCCATGTGAGTATATAATTATATATGCAATGATATATTTTTCTACCAGTTCATTTCATATATAGTACTCCATGTTGTGACATGTTAATGTGACATGTTGTGATGCCGTAATGGTCAATGGTACAATGTATGTTTGTCATAAGACTCATAACTGAAACTTGAGACCTATGTCCTCGAACTGCTTGAATTGTGAAACACGAAGTTTTGATTAACATTATTTTGAATTAAAGCTTGTTAAGATGTGCTGAAGGGCTAGATGTGCGCATCCTTGCCTATACATACAGAAATGTTGTTTCCTATTTCGAACTCGTGACCACATGTCACAATGGAGCAACCTTACCGTTGGCTAAAATTTCTGGTTTGACATTTTTTTCTGCTTGTAGGGGACTGAAGATAGAGATGTGGATATCTTCCATGGTAAGAAGCTTTGGGAGCTTTGTAAAGAAAAGTATGAACCTTTGTGGATTGAAGGAGGGAAACATTGTGGATTAGAGTTCTTCCCAGAATTCTTTAGGCATCTCAAGAAATTCATATCAGCGATTGAGAAATTGCAATGTCATGAAAATGAATTAGTAGAGAGTATAGATCATCAATTGAAGCATTCTATGAACTCCACAGACCTTAAGTCCAGATTGAGTACTGACCATAGAGAGCAGTCTAGGACAAGCATTGGGCAGAGGGAAATATGTAGGCGAAGCGCAGACACCAGAGAGAAGCCAAGAACTAGTGCCGACAGGAGGGAATTAAGATCAAGAAAGAGTGTGGATTGCTCAGGGAAATCAAGGAACAGCACAGATCAGTCAGAGAGAGGGAGGAACAGCATCGATCGGTTAGATAAGCTGTCCATAAGTTTAATTCTTTATATAGCCCTTATAATTTAGTAACATTTTGTTATGTTATGAGTTTGTTTATGATATTGTTCATGACAATCAGTGTTGAATGATGGCAGGTTGGGAGATATGATGAGATCAGTTGCATTGTGCAATGTTGATTGTTTTAAGCAGACAAGAGAAATGATTTAGAGGATGATCAGTAATTATAATTGCCATTTTCTTTTTACTCTTTGTTTGGAGTTCCAAAAAAGCTATGGAAAGCAAGGAATGAGTGGCAGCTTGTATGTGAATTTTTAGTCTGCCTGTAATTTTGCATCTGATTTATGCTCTTGAATGCCACACTTCCCTTTAGCTTGTAAACTTTATAGAACAGATTGATTTATGTATCTGTTGTATTTCACATCAATTTACTTATCACATGATTCTCTTGTGCAAATTAGTGCCGAAATGTTTACATAATCCAATGTTTTGAAGAATAGAAAGAAAGAAAAAAAAAAAAAAGAACAATCATGATATTGACTCCAAATGTCATGTTATTATTATTTTTATGGGTAAATATCACTTACTTCCTTCGAAGTTAGGCTTAATTACAGGCGGTACCCTTTCAAAAATATAGAGAGTGGAAATGTCTTTGTTATTGTCTTTGAGGGTATATGGGTAATTTTTAATTCAAAAGTAAGGGTGAAAATGTCTTTGCAATTATAGGCAAGGTTAGATGTGGTATTTCATACTTAGAATATAGATGTGGTAAATATCACTTACTTCCTTCGAAGTTAGGCTTAATTACAGGCGGTACCCTTTCAAAAATATAGAGAGTGGAAATGTCTTTGTTATTGTCTTTGAGGGTATATGGGTAATTTTTAATTCAAAAGTAAGGGTGAAAATGTCTTTGCAATTATAGGCAAGGTTAGATGTGGTATTTCATACTTAAAATGGCTGACATCACAATTGACCGGGCATTGACAATCACCGAAAGGGCCAAACTGTTATAAAGAGCTAATTTTGAGGGAGGTTTCTGTAATTTTTGTAATGTTAGAGTGCCCCTGTATTTGGGCCTAAGTGATATTTTACCTTATTGTTATTATTTTTTTTATGACAGAAAACATACTTGTAAACCCACAGTGCCCCAATGGGAGCCCCGGAAATACATCATGCTACACCATCTTTGGCATTTTTTTTTTTTTTTTTTTGTGAAAATTAATGTTTATTGTTATATTTCAATTATTTTATAATTGTTGTAAATTATTATCTATATTTAAACCTTTTATTAAAAAATTAAAATATCCCTGATATTATGGCTGCTGTAATGGAAGCATCACTCTTATCCTAGTCTTTCACTTAGCAAAGACACACAGAGTGAACTTCGAGTGTTTCTCTCTCTAAACTGTTTCTAGGGGTTTAATGGTGCCCCTGTTCTGAGCAGAAGCGTAACATCTTCTGTAGCTTCTTCTCATATTTCTTCGTCTTTCCTTATCATAAAAAATTAACAACATTAGGACTGCTTTTGGTCGCAAAATGGCCTCAGAAACAGACTCCATTGCTCTTGCTTGAAGTGGAAGATTGAGAGGAGACTCGGGAGAGAAAGATGCTGTTGAAGAGAAAGATGCTGCTGTTGAGAGGAGAGAGAGAGAGTCGAGTGGTGAATTTTAGTCTGCTTGTAATTTTGCAATTAATTTTTGCTCTTGAATGCCACAAAGTCCCTGTAGCTTGTAAACTCTATAGAACATATTTATTTGGTCGTAAAAATTACAAAAAGAATGATAATTGAAATTCAAATATTGTGTTTTTCGTTGGATCAAGGTGTGGTGTTTTTTTTTTTTTTTTACCTTACTTGGAATCCAAGCGCACATAGCGAAGTCTCAATCTTTAATATCGAGTAACACCCTGCCAAAAGGAAATTTTGTGTTTAGTACCTTAAATTAGAATTATGCTTTAAACCCTAGAATCAATTGAGTTTTCTGGAAATTAAGGGTTACTTAGTTTGTAACTCTAAGAACAGTTTTCTGTTTTCAACAGAAAACTTGTCAAAATTCTAAATAGGAAGAAAGGACCACTTCTCTTATTGAGTCGTTAATCATGTACAACTTATATACATACAGATTTGTGTAAAAAAGAAGAGGAAAAAAAATAATCTAGAGAATTCTAGTGTGATACGCATGTATAAAAAAGTCAAAGCTAAAAACAATGCAAGAAATCTTGTTGATTGTGTGCTTGGCAAATTGTGTGCTAATAGCTGATTATGTGCTTGCCAAATTATGTACTAATACTCCCTCTCTAGTTGGAGCAAAGATGTCAATCATGCCCAACTTCCAAAGGAGACTCTGAAAATGTCCACCAGCCAAGGGTTTAGTGAAGACGTCTGCAAGCTACTTAGAAGAATGGATATACGCTGTCTTGATTAAGCCTCTTTGTATCTTTTCTCGAATGAAATGGCAATCCAACTCAATGTGTTTTGTTCGCTCATGGAAAACCGGGTTGGCTGCAATATGAAGTGTAGCTTGATTATCACAATAAAGTGTTGAAGGATGAGAGAAGGTGAAGCCAAAGTCAGCCAATAAAAACACAGAGCCATTGTAGTTCGCACATAGCTTGCGCCATAGCTCTATATTCTGCCTCAGCAGAGGATCTGGAAACAACATTTTATTTCTTAGTCTTCCACGAAATAGGACTCGAATCAAGAAATGTGCAGTATCCACTAGTCAAACGTCATGTAAGAGGATAACTTGCCCAATCAGAATCGGCATAAACATTAAGTTGCAAGGAACTTGTGGAGCACAATAAAATACCCTTACCAGGACTTCCTTTTAAGTAACGCAGAACTCGTAAGGCCACATCAAAATGAGATTTTCTGGGAGTTTGCATAAACTGACTGAGAATATTTATAGGAAAAAGGATATCAGGGCACGTGATAGTCAAATAAATTAGTCGTCCTATTAGGTGACGATAAACTATTAGATCAGGTAAAGTATTATCAATGTCCATATTGAACTTCATATTCTGTTCCATCGGCGTTCGAGTAGGACGACAACCCAACATTCCCATGTCATGTAAAATATCCAATGCATATTTTCTTTGACAGAGAAAAATTCCTTGTGACGATCGTGCAATTTCAATACCAAGAAAGTGTTTAGGAGAGCCCAAGTCTTTGATTCGAAACTCATTATCGAGCCTTTTCTTCAAAGATTCGATCTCGAGAGTGTTGTCACCTGCTATAAGAATATCATCAACATATATCAAGATAAAAATTGATCGTTGATCAGTGTGCTTAAAAAAAAAAGTGAGTATTCAGCCTTTGATTGATTATATCCCGCAAAAATTAGAGAATGTGAAAGGTTTACAAACCAATTGCGACTGGCTTGTTTAAGCCCATATAAGCGCTTAGTAAGGCGACAAACTTTAGTCTCCCCCTGTGTGTGATATCCCGGAGGAATCTGCGTGTAAACTTCTTCATCCAGGTCACCATGTAGAAAAGCATTGTTGACATCTAATTGATGTTGAGACCATCCTTCGATAGCAGTAATAGCAAGAAGGCATCGAATAGTAACCATCTTTGCTACAGGAGCAAAAGTTTCATTATAATCTATTCCCTCCATTTATGTAAAGCCTTTGGCAACTAGTCGCACCTTGTACCTCTCGATTGTTCCATCTGATCGATACTTAATCTTGTAAACCCACCTACAACCAATGGGTTTCTTATAAGGTGGGAGACTAGTTACTGCCCAAGTATTATTCCTTTCAAAAGCTTCAATTTCTACAGCATAGCTTCTCGCCATTGTGGTATTTTAACAGCTTTAGAAAAGCTAGTCAGCTCGACATAGGAATCAATGGCAGCAAGGAATGATTTGTGACTAAAAGATAACCGATTACATGAAATAACTTGAGACAAAGGATAAAGCATACCTTGATTGTGAGGAGATGAGGAGTGGGTGCTTGCTATTAGAGTAGCATTATTACATACGAAATCATGCAAGTAAGCCGGAGGACGTCCATTCAGAATTGGTCGAGACGGCTGTGAAGAGTTACTTGATGTGGTATTAATCTATTTGCCTTGATCAACTAATTGGGATGAAGGAGGGAAAAAAGGAGGAACTGTTTCATAGCCATTTAATGCCTTAGAATTGATGTGATCATGGGAGAAGATAGCATCACCATTATCCGAGATAAGCAAAGGCACAACAGAGGTAATAGATGGTTGGAACTTAGAATCGCGATAAGGAAAAACATGCTCACGAAAAAGAACATCACTTAAGGTATATATGGTTCGTGATGAGAGATCATATACCTTATACCCTTGTTGACCAAAAGGGTACCCAACAAATATCCCAGGCTTGGATCGTGCATCAAATTTATGTTTATTAGGAGAGAGATTGTGACCAAAGCAAAGACAACCAAAAACTTTTAGGTGCGAATAAGGTGGTGTGCCAAGCAACATCTCATGGGGTGATTTTCCATTCAAGACAGGTGACAGAATTTTATTAATTAAATAGGTTGCTGTAAGAACTGTTGGGAAACGTACAAGTTTTAAAAACTTTTCGAGGGATTTTGATTCATAGATCTTGATTCATCACATAGAGACAAGTTTTATGCAAAAATAAAAATATAATGTATCATTCAATTAATGGATTGAATACTTACATCAAAGGTCTGAGTAAACCTTTAAAACTTTCCTCTAAAGTGAATGTTCTCACTTATTGTAGATCCCTTAGCAAGATGCCTTCTCCTTGGATCTCCATCTTTTTGGTAATTATTTTGCCTTTAGAAATCACTCATAAGCCTTCATGAATTACCTTGGAAAACTAGGCTTGTGGGAGCCTCCATTAGATGAGAACATAAACCCTAATTTTCTAGAGAGAGAAAATTTATTCCTTTTTCCTTCTCATAAAAATTACCCCCTAAAATATACATAAACCATGTATATTTATAGGCAACATAAAAATAAAGAAAAGGAAACAACAAATCCTTCTCCATCTCTAATTCATATGTCTCAAATCTAATATGATTCCAATATCAAGTTGGGCTATGAGTGAGAATCCATTGGGCTTATTATTTTATTGGCTACAATGAATTAATAATTGGCCCGGTCCATGGACCCAATTCAATTAATTCATAAATTAATTTCTACTCCACTAAAAGAAATTAATTGAACTCCAATTAAATAATAAATAACCTCTAAGTCAATATTGCACTTTGACCCCTCTATGCATAATTAGTTATCGGATAAATAAAGCCATCAATCCGACTACTTAATTAATATATCTATTTTGGTACCTCTGATTATTTCTGGCTCGATCACAATAAAACATTTGTTTGACAAAAATAATAATTTAAATAAATAAATATATAATAAATCATTTTGTCTAAAAACACACGAAGGCCTTCGAATTTACTTTGTGATCAACCATAATCAATACAAAATAAATACAAGTAGCAATGATGCAAATATTGAAAATATAACCCTCTAACTATTAATTACATAACTACCCAAAGTGTCGGTCTAAGGATCCCGAAGAATCCGCCGAACAAATCAAAGTAATTATTAATTAATAAAAGAGTCTATACTTTTCTCATGCTTAAGAGTCAAATGCCATGACGGTGATAGGGAGTAATT